GATGAAGAACTAGAGACCCAACTTTGCTAAGACCATTCACTTTCAGCATATCATTTTCAGTGATGCATGATGTTGGTAGGAAAGTGTAGGTGTAGCCAGATTCACAAAGAGAAAAAACCTTAAAACCCTTGGGAACAGGTTTATTTTTTATTCGAACTGTATGAATACTTCTTCCAGAAAACCAAATCATCATTTCATCTACTGAAATATTGGAACCTGGTATATAGTACTGTTTGGAAGCCTCACGAACATGTAAAAGTAATAGTTCTACTTTATCAAAATAATTTTTTAATTTTGATATGAGGGTGGGAGAAGAGATATGAAGAAACCTTTTAATCAATTCATAATGTTTCAATGACATAAGTTTTGAAATATGGTAGACTGGGAGTTTTGGATTTTCATTCCAATTTTGGTCAAGGGACAGCAACTTAAAAAGTCTCTGGTAAATAACTAGAGCAATCCAAACAAGAAGCTTTTGCAATTTATGTTTTCCCACTATTTACCAGTGGTACCTGTACCGTTTATTGAAGTGTATTCATTCGTATTTGTAACTATTGTATCTATTATGAATATTGAAAAAAAAGTAAAAAAAAATTGATTGGTTAGGAAATACCAACATCAAGGTGTAGTGGCAACCGAATGCTCATATGATGTAATGAACTTGGGTGAACTAATAGTTCAAAATAAGGTAGTGGTGGCAGCTACGGGGTTTGTTTATACTTTTTTTTTGGATACTTCTTGTGTCTGTTGTGGCATTTTCATCCTCATTCTCATCCCCGTCTTCATAATCTGAATCTGGGTTATTCCAAAAATTTGGGTGAAATCGCAAAAATAGTATATATTCTTTATCGTCATTATATGTCTCTACATTTTCTAAAAGAGACAATGATAAACTTGCAAATAACGAGTTTGTAAATGGCGAAATCTTTAAAAATATTTTTTTTTTTTTTTTCGTTATTTATATACTAGTAGATGATTTTATGATTGTAGCTTTATGCATGGCGATCATATGCAGGATTTACAAAAGTTACTGTAATATTGCATCATAATGCATATGAGAAACTGAGAGATAGGAGGTGATTAGTTGTATAGTAAACTTTAATTCTAGCTAAACGATATGGGAAGACAAGCTTAATAAAATTTGGCATGAGTAAATAAAAATTGTTGAAAAAAGATTTTAGCAGGCAAATTTGCTCGCTGGATGGTTTAAGGGATAATGCTACATCCTGTTCCCAAACCTTTGAAGAACATCAGACTGCAAATACTTTTCAGATGCAAAGATTGCAGTGTTTATTCTAAGTAAAAAATAGATTTTATAATAACAATATTGCCTATTATTTTAATGAGAGTATTAGTATATTGAGTGACGATCTCCCTTATTATACTGTACTATTTTGATTTATCGAGCAATAATCTTTCTTGATTTACTGTAGATATTGCCACCATGGAATTACGGTGAGTCAGTCACTTGACTATCTAAAACCTTGTGTAACCTATGAATAGCTTAGTCGAAAGAGGGCGTTTAGATTTGGGCGATGGTTTTGGTTCGTAGGTAAGTACTCTATGGTTTCTTAGTGATTATGCCTTGAGATGTTGCTTCACTAATGCTAATCTTTTATTTAATTGAAGGGAATCATATGGAGACTTTATTCTTAAAAATTTGGATAACTGGGATACAACTGTACGTCATATAGTCTTGGTACATTAAGACTTAACTGAACAAGTTAGAGGGTAAGTATCATGTGAACAGGTTAATGAGGATCTTACTGTTAGTTATGTAAAACTAGTGCTCCTAATTAGGTCAGATCAACTCGAAAACTGACCTGAATCTGATCCGAAACTTCAGATCAGGTTAGAAAAAATTAAACCTGAAAAGTTCGGGTCAGATTCAGGTTAACAATAAACCTAACCTGAATCTGACCTGACCTGACTCGAAATATTATAGATAACCCAACGTATTTTTTTATTCTATATATTGTTACTATTGTAAATTGGAAGAGCGATTAATATCTAAACATTAAATTCCAGTAAATCCATATCAGCTTATTTGTAGAATTTGATAAATAGGAAAACCAATCTGTCATAGCTCTGGTCAAATTTGCAGATCATTTCATCAGATTTAAAGTCAAACAAATTCAAACTTGGTCAAATGATCTGCAAATTTGACCAGAACTATGACAGATTGGTTTTTCTATTTATCAAATTCCACAAATCGGCTGATATGCCTTGTCAAGATATGCTTATTTTTAGCTAAATAAAAATTTTTTTAATAGTAATTTACTATTAAAAAATTTTTATTTAGCTAAAAATAAGCATATCTTGACAAGGATTTACCAGAATTTAATGTTTAGGGACATTTTTGAATCCCAAAAACTTGGAGAATAATTGTATATACTTAAAATAAATATTCATATAGCTCATTACTAAAGATATCTTTGCTAGAAGTTTAATTCACTATTAAATTTTAATTAGGATAATTAAAAGATTTGCATCGACAAATCACACTGTGGAACAAGATCATGTGATCCAATTGCACTACGTATATTTTAGTAATGATAATTAAATAAAAAAATTTATCTTAAAATAACTTATCATTAAGAAGATATTTAAATTTAACTTTTTCTTTCACATGATGCAAAACATTTGATTGCTACTGCATAACTCGTTAAGAATATAGCTCTTAGTTACTTAGTGAAAGGTTTATTCAGTCTCAATACTTACTTCTTTTATGTTAATTAAGAGACCCAGTGTATTCTTTAATAAATAAAGAGAAAATGTGGTGAGGAATCAATTATTTAATTAGAAGCTTTTATATTTTTAGAATTTAAGGATTCGAGGTTTTTAAGGTAATAATATTTTATTTTATTAATAGATAATAATTTTTATAACTTTCTAATTTGTAGAAAGGTGAAAAGAATCTATATTTATATAATTTGGTTTGCAAAGGCTATGCTAAGTAAATTCTAAATAATAATATCACTTATATCTTTATGAGCAGTTGTTTACTCCTTCATGAGCAGTTGTTTCACTTACATTTAAGCTATTCTAAGGTAATACAAAGCCACACTGCTCATATCATTATATGTACAATTCTATTCAATTAAGGCTTATTGGATATATGCCTTAGTTCCACTGCTCACCTTAATATTTACATAGATTATTATCACAATTCTTAAACGTAAATAAAGGTATGAGCAGTCTAATAAACAAATAACTATATAAAATGTAATTGAAATAATGAAAAGGTTAAATAATAATAAAAATAAAAGATAATAAATAAATAAATAAATAATAAAAGAAAAAAGAAATAATTTAGTGAAAATCTCTGACTTATAATGATATACTAATGTATACATATTCTATCTTTTGTAATGATTATCATAATAAGTGTGTAAAGAATAATCATTTAAATATACTATACTAATATATTTTATATATAGTAAATTCTATTCATAAACTTGACCTTTTGAGTCTATTCTATTTATTGAACTTTCTAAAAATCTTCAAATATAATTATTACTTATTTGTTTATGATCAAAGCTAAATTCAGTATTGCTTATTAAAGCTTTTTTTCTAATCATAATATTGTATTAACTGATTAGCATTAGGTCTAAATTATTTTTATATTTATGTAACAAATCATAGATGAATATATATTCTATTTAAATCTATTTATATTCATTGTAGATAATATATAGTCAATCTTAAATGAATTTTAAACTTAATAATAATTATAATATATAAACTAAAATTGTATCGTATATCTTTTTAACTATTTAAATTCTAATTTATTTAAAACAAATATAGTAATAATTATATTAATTGTTTAGTAAAATTTTATTTATTAAATATTGATTTTTTATTTTCACTTTGGTCTAATTTAATTTTTTTACAATGAAATTATTTTTAATCAAATTAATAGTAAGTATTAAAACAAATTAATATTTATACCTTTAAGAAATTAAAATATTTTTGAACTTTGAGTGAAGATATCTTGGCAATCTTTTGACTAAAATTAATAAAAATTTTTTATTTAAATTCTATGAATTTTAGTATTTAAACAAAAAATTTTTATTGAAATTAGTTAAATTTTTATAGAGATATCTTCACTCAAAGTTAGTAAATAATCTAAAATATCTATTTAATTAGAAATTGTACTAAAATTTTTTTGAAAATTTAAATAAATATATCTCAATAACTACTTAACTAATTGTGATAAAAAATTTTTTATTTGAATTTAATTTATCTGTAAAATTTAATCAAAAAAAATTTATCAATTTTGATCAGATAATTATAAAGATATCTTTGATCAAAAATTTAAAAAACTTTATATAATTTCTTTGATAATTTTAAATTATTTACTAATTTTAAATGAAGATATTTTAATAACTATTTGACTAATTGTACTAAAAATTTTTTTATCTGAATTCTTTATATCTGTAGAATTTAATAAAAGATTTTTATTGATTTTGATCAGGTAATTATAGAGATATCTTTACTCAAATATTTAAAAATTTTAACAACTTCTACTTTAATAATTTTAAATTATTTACTAATTTTGAATAAAAATATCTCAATAACTACTTAACTAATTGTAATAAAAATTTTTTTATTTAAATTCTACTAATCTGTAAAATTTAATCAAAAAAAAAATTTATTGATTTTTATCAAGTAATTATAGAGATATTATTGTTTAAATTTTTATAGAAGTTTCTATTTTAATAGATATTTTAAATTATTTACTAACTTAGAGCAAAGATATTTTAACAACAAACTAAGTAATTTTGATAAAAAAAATTTTGTTAGAATTCTACAAATCTGTAGAATTTAGATAAAAAATTTTTATTGATTATAGTTAAATAGTTATTAAGATATTTTAAATTAAAGTTCTTAAAAAATTTAATTATTTATTAAAATTCAATAGTATTAAATTTTTTTTTAATATTTATTAAATTATTTATAATTTTATTAAATAATTTTTAATTATTTATAGATTAAATATGGAATTTGATGAATCAGATATTTTTCTTAATGAAAATTACATCATTGAAAGTAATATTTCAGAAATTATTTATATTGATATATTAGATAATAGTTCAAAACAAAAAGAAAATATTACTGAAGATGATGAGATATTTAGTAATAAAGATAAAACAAATTCTAATCAAATAAATGAAGATATTTTTATAGAAAAAAAATTCTCTTATTGAAGAAAATCTTTCTCTTGAAGAAAATTTTTCTATTAAAGAAAATCTTTTTATTAAAGAAAATATAAATACTGAACTAGATAATAAAAAAAAACTTAAATCTATTGTTCATAATCATTTTACTTTAAATCAAGAAGCTAAAAAATATAAATGTAATTATTGCAGGTAAAAATATTAATTTTAATATTAATTTTTATATTTTTTTATATAATTTTATTATTATTTATTTAATATTAATTATATTTATTTATTTATTAAATTTTTAGTCAAACTTATAAATTACTAAAAGATAAATCAACATCAGCTTTAAAAAGAAATCTTGAAAAAAATTATAAAAGATAAATTGCAAATGAAAAAATTATTAGAGCACTAGATAAATTTATTAAAAAAGATGAATTTATAATTATTTTATATTATTTATTTTTTTATTAATAATATTAATTAATTTAAATATTATTTAAATATTATTTACTCAAGAAGACTAGCTTAAAGATTTAATTAATTGGATTATTTCTGATGATCAATTATTTACTGTTGTAGAAAATAAATTTTTTAAAATTATGATTAAAAGACTTAATAAGGAAGCAAATATTCCTTTAGCAAATACTATTACTAATAAAATTTTTAAAATTTTTAGTAATGAAAAAGCTAATTTACAAAAAAAATTTTAAGAAATTTCTAGTAAAATTTCATTTACTCTTGATTGTTAGATATCTAAAAATCAAAAATCTTATTTAGGAGTAACTGCTTATTGGATTTCAAATAATTGGCAACTTCAACATTGTACTCTTGAGTTTAGTTATTTTGAAGGCTCTCATTTAAACAAAAATTTAGCTGAAGAATTTTTTAAAATACTAAAAGAAAATAATCTTTTAACAAAAGTATTTATATTTTATTATTAATAAAAAAATTAATTATTAATTATTATTTTATTTTTAGATTTTAGATATTACTACAGATAATGCTAAAAATATGAATTCAATATTTAATAATTTAGAAGAAAATTTTAATAATGAAGATTTAGAATTTGATTCTAAAAATCAATATATATATTGTCTTACTCATATTATAAATCTATCTGTTCAAGAAATTTTAAAATCTCTTTATAATAATAATAATAATAATGAAAGTAATAATTCAGATGAAGATAATAATAATGAAATAACAAATATTAATAATTTAGGAGCACTTGGAAAAGTATAATTTATTATATTTAATTTATTTATTTTTTAAAATATTTATAATATTTATATTTAAATATAAAATTAATAATAAATTTTATATTTTTAATATAAAATATTTTAAATAAATTCAATAATTTTATTAATAATATAATTTTATATTTGTAGTTAAAAAAAAATAATAATTAAAATTCATAAATCTCTACAAAAACATGAATGTTTTAAAAGACAATATTTTATTTTAAATATTAAACAATTAAAATTAATTGTTAATATTAAAACACGTTAGAATTCAACATATGATATGTTAGAAAGAGTATTAAATTTACAACAAGTAATTTTTTTATATATAATTATTTAATTTTATTTACTAAATATTAATTAATATTTTAGCCATTAGATGAATTAGTATCAACAGATAAAAGTTTTTTAAAATATTAATTAACAAATACAGAATAGAATAAATTAAAACAAATAAAAAATTTATTAGAAGTAAGTAAAAATAATTTATTATATAAAATAATTTATAAATATTATAAAATATTATTTATTTTTAAATTTTTTATTAGTGTTTTAAAAAAGCTACTCTTGAAATAAGTGTATTAAATTACCTAACACTTAGTTATTCAATTTCTATTTATAATTATTTAATAAATATGATTGAAAAATTTTTAAATAAAAATTCTTATTCTAATGATATTATTTCTACTATTAAGAAAGCTAAAAATAAATTAAATAAATATTTTCTAACAACTAATAGACTTGTTTATATTATTTCTACAAGTAAGTAATTTTAAATATATTTATTAAATAATTAATAACTAATTTATTATTATATTATATTAATAGTTATTGATCCATATCTCAAATTACAATATTTTAAAGATCAAAAACTTGATGATAAATTAATTAAAATATATAAACAGCAAATTATTAATTTATAGAAAAATAAATATAGATAAACAGAAAATCAAAATAATAAGCAAACAAATAACAAATCAAGTAGACTTCTTGCTTATATATCTAAAAAAAGAAAACATAATGAATTTGATGAACTTGTTAAATATTTATGTGAACTACTATTAAATTATAATATAGATATATTAACATATTGGAAAGTAAATATTTATTATTAGATATTTTAAATATAATTAATTAAAAATCTAATTTTTAATTTAAATATAGCTTTATGAAGTAGATTATTCAAATTTATCAAAAATAGCTAAAGATTATTTAGCAATTTCTGATATATTTTTAATTTTAAATATAATAAAAATAAAAATATTAAAATTCTTTTAAATTTAATTATTAATATAAATTTTTATATTTTAGGAACAAGTGTTCCTGTTGAATATATTTTTTTAAGTAGTGCTAATTTAATTTCTGCTAAAAGATATAGCTTAAATCCTGATATAATTAAAATTTGTATATGTTTAAAAAGCTAGTTAAAATTAAAATTAAAAAGTAATATAGATTAAATTTTTAAAAATTTATTTAAATTGTATTTATATACTATAGTATTTATTATTAGTAATAGGTTTTTTTAATTTATTTATTTAAATTTTTTTTCTATTAATTTTATTTAAATATTATATTATATTACTATATTTTATATTATTATTTTATATTTTACTTTATTTATATAAATAAAAAATTTGTTTTAATACTATACTATATATTAATTAAAAATTTTTATATTTATTTAAATTAAAATTTAATAAGCTATAATAATAATTAAATATATATAGTACTAAATTAAAAAAAATTAATAATAAATTTATTTTAAATTAAAATATAATAAAATTTTTTTTTTTGTTATTAAAGCAGCTTATATTGCTAAAGGAATTTTATTAGAATTGCATACAGAATATATATTGATAGTCTCTACTGTTTGTAATTACATGAAGAGTATATAATAAGCTACACGTATAACTTTAGTCATTGTCTAATTTAAGTAGTTCGCTGCACAGATAATTAGACTACCTAATTGGTTCTACACTAAGCTACCATATCTGTAACCCATCTGTGAGTTACCTATTTAAATACTCTGTTCATTAACTCATACAGATATAACCTAATATTACTGCAACATCTAACCACTTAAGCCAGCTAGCTCATTACAGATCTATTTATTCAGAATAGCTTAGGTTCTCTCAGGATATATTGTACCTAATGCATTGTAGGTATCACAAAGCCAGTTAACCTTGAAGTATACCTACTAGAGTAGTCTATACTTATTTTATGAATTTACTTAGCTTAGACCCTTGTAGATATTTGTACAATCCTAATTTCTACTGTAGCTCTCCACTAGTTTTCTGTATTCTATAATCTCAGATATTTTATGAGTCAGATCTTCCCAATTCAGTTAGCTGCCAAGCCAGGTTAGTGTTACTGATCCTCCTTGTAGAATGAATTTATGTACACTATTGACCTATAAAACATTAAGAAAAAACACAAAATCCTTAATAACTTTTAATCTACTAGTCTGAATTAGATGAAACATATACTATTGGAATCAGCTCACTGAAACAGTTCTAATGAGCTAAGAATAATTAAAATCTAATCACTGGATCCTGAGATAATAAAGTTCTGATCTTTTTACAATAATTATACGATCTAATTAGCTGATGATTACTGCGCAAGATTTGTTATATGTACTATATCTATTACCTATAGTTTTTGAGACACTATTATTACTTATCATATATATATCACATATCATATTTATTATATATTTCATACATATATTAGTTATATTATATATTTT